AAAAACGAAAACGTGTAAAATATAAATAGCATTCTTGGATTTAAAAGGCGTCGAAACGTATTGCGTAGTCGCAAATGGAGTTAGCCGTTTGCGAAGAAGGCAAGGAAAGAAAAATGCGGCGAACTTTGTCAGACGGAAATGAAATTAGAGGTGAGATCGTTGAAGTAGTTTTGCCAAAAGGGAGAGGAAGAAGAGACTGTGACAGCTCATGTGTAAAGTCCCTACCAAAACAAATCAAGCTTAAAACTCAGCCTGTTTGTTTACAAATTGGCGATAACAATACCGTCGCCTTCGTTGACCTCACGACGCCTACCGATGTCTCCGATGGGCTCACGAAAGTTTCCGATGACGAAGAGCTGGTTTTGCGTGTGTTACGGAGATATGGATCATCCGAAGAGCTTGTACTTAAAGACGATTCGCAAAAATCATGTCAGGCAATTGATATTCACGCTGATTTTGTAAGGATAATCACTCCGGCCGATGAGAAATCAACAGTCGAAGAATACACTTTGGCAGCGGAAGTCAAAAGCTGCCACACTCTTATGATTGGAAACAAAAACAAGTTTGTAGTCCAACCCGAAGACGTGCCAAATGCTTTTGGAAATACTCGGCCAGTCCTTCGTGTTATACGATTACCCACGAAGCCCGTATCAATTGTGAAGAATGCGAAGGACTTCCCAAATATCGAGAAAGATCATCTCATGGTGCTTACAATTTGTGAGAACCGTTTTACAACAAGAGCGATTGGATGTAGCTTTCCCCAGAGTTCCTCGTTGGCAAGATCAAAGAAAATGAAAGACTTTTACGAAGTGAAAATAAGCGTAAGTCAGTCGAGAAAACATGGAAAAACAGAGGTTAGAGACGAAGTATTGTTCCAACGAGAATCAGGGTTAGATTGCCTTCAAGGTATTGTTGGCTACTGGTTTCGTTTCCATACAGACAAGACGCGCTACATTGTGACATTCTCCTTATGGAAAACAGTGACCGACACACTGACCAGCGAACTGTTGGATGAAGCAAGAATTGCTGTTGAGACAAGCGAACGAAAGATTCCGCCCAGAAGATTAGCGGCCAGAAAACGTAGCCTCGTCCATAAACAAAATGCTGGTGAAGTTGCATCACATCCGGCTCGAAGTCGAAAGGTAACATCATTTTCGGAAGGAAGTGGTACCTCACCGATAGAGAAGCCCATTTCGGAGGAATGTCAGGCAATTGAGGAGACGTCACTTCCGGCGGAAAAGACTTCCTTGGATTGTATCGCTCAGAGATGTTTCCATATCAGCAATATTTTGCTTTCGCTGCTCGATGATGGAAACTGGGATGAATTTAATCCACAGGTAGCAAATTTTCTGGAAGAATTCGCAGACGATGTAGATCTCCAGATCATTGTTACTCTAGATCAAGGT